CACACACACACACACACACACACACGTGCTCTATCACTAGTCTTGAAAGCAACCAGCCAGCTGTGAATTTCCCTTTGCTGTTTCCTCATGGTCAACCCCTTCACTAAGAGAGTTTTAATAGCATATGAAGATACCTTTACTCAAAGTGTTAGCTGGAGCTTCAAGCCTGCTGAATGGCACGGCAGCTGCATGCTTTGCTCAGTACGGTGTACAGGCTGAATGACAATCTCAAGGTAAGAACAGAAACTAAATCATAGCTCAGCTGACACTAAAGATATGATCTTTTCCGAGAAAATGGATTTATCTTCATGCATATGGAAGACAATGGCCTGTCCTTGATTGGATAAGAGTTGCTTAAGAGAGAGGCCCATTGTTTTTAAATCTTTCCCCCATCCAATAATAGCATTACCAACTGAACTGGAACCAAGATATTAACCTTTGATCTGAGGTTATTTGTCTCAATGCAGCACATAATTGCCAAGAAAAAAAATGATGGTAATAAATAACAAAGAGCGCTGTGCAAGTGAAAGTAATTTTCTGCAATATGTATTGGTAGAACTTACACACCCCTGCCAGGGCAGGGAATAATGAAGGTTAAAAGATAATGTAAAAAATAAATAAAAAGGGGACAGGGTAAGTTTCCTTGCCATTGGGTCATTACATTTCTTCCCCTGCTCCGTAATGTCAAAATATGTAATACATGTATTAAATACATGTCAAAATGTATTAAATACATTTAATAAAAGGACCAGCTGATTAAACACACACGCAACAATATATAATGAAAAGATACAAAACTCTTTTGGGCTGATCTTGCAAACATTATAATGCAAATAGTCTTTGTGAGAATAACAGGAGTGAATCTTTTCTGTGTTACTCTTGATAGAAAGTACACTTCGCTGCACTTGTAGCTATGCTAGCTTTAAATTACAGCATGGCATTTTCATTGTAATGGCAAAAGACACCCTTGTCTGGTGATTATAAGAAGGGCTCTCATGCGCTTAATGCGCTGTTCTGAAAATAAATAACTGTAAGCTGTGCCAGGAGGATATTATCTAGAATCATTGATGTCATATGTCCTGACTTTTCCAACTTTGGTTTCAGGTGGATATGTTGCTAACAGTCTAGCCATTATGACAGATGCACTTCATATGTTAACTGACCTTAGTGGTATTATTTTGACCCTGCTCGCTCTCTGGCTGTCTGGAAAATCTCCCACAAAGAGGTTCACTTTTGGATTTCATCGCTTAGGTATGTAGATATCAGCTTTTGCTGTTAACAGTACATTTTAAGTAACAACTGTAACAATCACCTAATACTAGACGAATAAGTAACTAGAAAGAGATTAGCAATAAACCTAGAAGTTGCTTTATGTTTGAAACCCTGACTCTTAACGTCCATTCGCTGGCCATTGTGGATCCGCTACACAGGTTGTATTGCCACAAGGGAATAGATAATAAAAAAATAAATGTTTAAAATTTTAAACCTCAGCCAAAAGTGAGGCTTGATGGCAGAGTTTGCTCACTTGGAGCAGGGTGAGTCTCTCCATCTGTGTGGAACTAGGACTCAGCAGACTCAGAGTTAAATTCTGAATACTTGATTCATATTTCAACTTACAAGAGGAAGATTGGAGAATTGAATGCACCATGACATTTAAATATGACTTCCTATAAACATACCACAGCCTAAAAAAACCCAGAAGAGCTCAGAGGAAGGAACTGTCCCCAGTAAGAACTGGGGTGGATATGCAGTTGTGTTTCACAGTCCATCCATAGTTACTTGCATTAGGTCAGGCTCCTGAGCACCTTTGTGCTTTGGAATTGAGGCTGCTGAGTGAGGGGAACACATTCCTTGGTCCCTCACTGCTCTACCACTGTCACTGCTTGTGTGACACACTGAGGAGCTTGTTGATGCAGGAGCTGTACATGTCAGTCAGTTGTTGGTCACAACAGATTCTTGCCGGTGCCCAGGATTTAGGAAGTCCCATTGACTTCAGTGGAATTATGACACTGGAAATAGTCCTATTCACTGTGAAAAATGACATCTTAATCCAGAACTAAAAGGTTCTGTGGGGCATGTTATCAGAGAGCTCTGCCCTGCCAAAAGCTGCATAGATCAATATTCCACTTGCACTCCCCAAACTACACAAAGCAGAAGTCAGAACGCCCCATGGTTTGCTATACAGTAAGTTACTTAACCTCTGCCCATTTTAGGTGTCAGTACTAATAGCCTTGGAAGGGTATTTTCAGGATTCCTTACTTCATGTTAGGAAATGCAATGATGATAAAGGGTATTTTCATGTGGTTGCTAACTGGATATAGTAATTTGTTATACACAGATGCAGGTCTTGTAGGCATTTTACCAGAAGTTTCAACCTTTATTTTTCATGAAATAGATACTTTCTAAGGTCAAAGTTTGCTACGTCTGCTCTATACATTCTATAACATATATTTTTCAAGGATTTTAAAGTCTCGGTAGTCATTATTTACAACTCTTATTTTGGCTGCTAGAACACCAGTAGAATTCAACAACTTCATCATTCCTAGTCATTTGTCATCAGTTGCTCACTGTTGCATGAACACATAACTGTGTACACTAGCAAAGATCTCTGGGGCTTTAGCAAGAAAGCATTAACAATGCCAGCATTTCCCATTACACTTTTCTTTCAAGAAGTTTTAATTTTGCGATAGGAGCTCCCCTAATACTGAAACCTGACCTTGCAGGTATGCCCCTGGCATTTGCTCACATTCTCCGCAAGGATGTTTGTTAGCATTTATACATATGTTAACCCTATTTAAAAATCAGCTGGGTAGTTTGTATGTCTTTGTAACCTTTCTAAAATCAAATAGTACGTACATTGACTGTGCCATGGCCTAGCTTAAAACAGGAGTTAATCTTAAGAAAAATACAAGAAACTTATTAAACCATTAAAATCTTAGTCAGTTCTGTGAATTTTTACTGACTTTTCAATTAATATGAGGGCTTCATATCACTCGGCAAATATAAATCACTGGGGATTTCTACCACCTCACTTTCTCTATCTTTTTTTTTTTCTTTCCCACCCCCACCCCTCCCCGTTTAATTGCTGAGAGAAGTACGGGACAGACTGATCCAGTGGTGGTCCATAGGCCACATCTGGCCCACAGAATTAGTCTTTATTGCCCAGAATCTTCTCCCTGGGACAAGCTACAAGGAGCAGCTTCTCAGTTCTGCAACAGTTATACCTCCTGTTCTGCCCCTGATTGCTGGTAGGTGGTCAAACACTAGAACAGGCTGAGGAGTCTCCACGGTTGGAAATACTCAGCTCCCAACTGGACACAGCCCTGAGCAACCTGCTGTGGCTGACCCTGCTTTTAGCAGGGCTAGACATTTCCCAGGGGTTCCTTTCTCCCGCAGCCATTCTGCACCAGTAGCACTAGTGCAGCTCTCCCTGTAGGAGGAGGAGGAGGACTAGAGCCTGAGGGTAGGGGCAAGAATTTCTGTGGTTGCAGTGAGAAAGTGGGCAAAGGCCCTGCAAGAGACCCCCAAACGTTGACCTAGGCTTTCCAAGTACAGAAAGTGGGATAGTTCAAAATTACTATACACAGTTTTTTTAAAGTCACATTTGTGGAATTTATTTGCCTGATTTCATGCACCCAGTCTGAATGCCGTGGCCTGAGGGCCCAGTTTCACACATCAGTGAATGCTGGCGATGGAACAAAGCTGCTTCTACAGTATAGTCTTGCTGTAACACATTTTTCCAAATAACCTGTATGTAAGAAGCGTGTCAGCAAATAATATGAGCTCAACAGTAGCTTGGATTTTATGAGAGATGTCAAAACCTGACAGAATTGTTAAAAATTGCACAGATTGAGCATCTGTCACAAAAAAAAATGCAGAGTTTGTTTAAAACTGGAAATATTCAAAAACTATCTCATTGGTGACCTGCTATGCATTAAGTTTTAAGATAATCTATACATACAGTAAGCATATAAACATTCTAACGAACAGTGGTTTTGGTGTCCATTATCACTTCTGTTTGCAGAACGTATTTTCAAACTCTGCTCATAAACCTTGCATTTGTAACAACAACAGTCCTATTAGTTGCCTAGTCAAATTCCAGAAGGAAATTAGCACTAATTTGCATTTATTTGATTTCTCTTTGAATACACAATATGTATGCTGTCTCTTCAGTTTTATTTCATTTTTCAATGGTGAAAAGAAAGCTGACAGATTCAGGAATGGCTTAGAAAAGTAAAGACAAAACAATTGAAATTGCAGTCATGTCTAAGAAAGATTATATTCTTGAAGCCAAAAATAGTTCTGCTTCACCACCAAGTGGAGATACCTCCTTCTCAGCAAGACACCGAGCAGATTTAAGCATAGATACAGAACCTGGCGTTTTTCCATGGCTGCAGAGACAATGTTAGTAATGACAGAATTAGTCAGTCCACTGGGGCAGTGCATAGTTCATTTCACAGAAGTGAAAGATCTCAGCACAAATACACAATGCTGATGTGATAATGACTGTGAAAGAAACTGCAAGGAAAACACCGGTTTCTGTTGCAGAAAACATAGTTTTAGACTGTAAAACGACAAGATGCTATTTCTCTGGTAAATGCTTATGTGCTATGGCTTAACGAATCTTTTAAAAAGCATTCTAGAAAATCTAAGCGGTATTTGGTTTCTTTTTTAAGACTGTTGCCCTAAATAACCTTCTTTGTAATACTTGCATGGATGTTTCCAGGATTTTCATGTTGCTCTGAAATCATCTGAGATTGTGACAGTTGCCTTTCAGAGCCTTGTTGCTGCCTGGTAATGCTGGTCCTTGTCCAGGCACTGACACACTACTGAACAGCTGAATGTGTTGGTGTGAGTTTCTTCCATAATGATGTTAAAAATTCAGTGCATGGATCAAGTGGTTTTGGTGGTATTAAAATGCTTACAAAGCTGCATGGTTTTTACTCTAATATTCAGTAAATAAACCTATGGCAGTTCTGTGTTAGAAATGACATCTTCTTTGGTAGACAAAGCCTCAAAACAGAGGGAGAAGTGAAGCAGTGCTCAGATCAGTATTCTTAGAGCTTTGCTGTGGCTGAGAGCTGGATTTTGCCCTGACTGGGGACACACGTGGAACAAGGGGGAAGGACAACCATTACAATTTTGAGTAAATTAATTGCAGCTGTGATCGTTGAATTCACACAGGGAGGCTAAGATCCTGGTGATCCATCTGGCAAGTGACAGTAATGAGCATTACACGTGATGATTACAGATTACTCGGGCATGGCTGCAAATTTACATGCAATACGATGGAGCCAGCATTGAGGTTTCCCCAGTACTTTCTGTAAAGCCCTGTATTAACTTGCTTATAACTGAGACAGTCTTTTAACTGTGCCAGTGTTTTCTCTGTCGGGTATCTTGCTTTTTCTTTTTTCTTTTTCTTTCTTTTTTTTTTAAAGTTTCAGTTGCAACAGGGCAATCATTTTCAGAATATAAAGCTAGAGGGTAGAAGTATGTTTATCATAGAATCATAGAATCATAGAATGGCCTAGGCTGGAAGGGACCTTAGAGATCATTTAATCCAACCTGCCTGTCATGGGCAGGGACGTCTCTCAACTAGATCAGGCAACACATAGGGACCGAACGGGGATCGAACCTGCAACCTTGGTGTTAACAGCATCACGCTCCAACCGACTGAGCTAACCGGCCCCTGGCCCCCTTTATTTTAAAAGGAATCTAGTGTCCCATTTGGAAATGCCTATATTCTTTACAGTAGGGCCTTAAAACAGTAGTGCAGACTCCTCCTGCTCCTCCTCAGCTTTATGTATGCTATTACCAGTCCCATTTCATGACTTGCAGAGAGCACTAAGGTCCAGACCCATAAAATATTCAGGCCTATTTACCTCCTTTTTTTGAATCTTATAGAGAGCTGTAACCACTTTCCACAGATGTAAATGGCAGTGGAAAGTGCAGGACAGTTAAATACGAAGAGTTTTTATTCACTTTCTAATTTTCTCTTTATTTAGATGTATGTGCCATTTTGAAAGTCCTTGCTGATCAGATAAAATTCCCACACCAAAATTTTGGTTATGACACTCTTACTTTTGTGAAATACTAGTATTTGGTAAATATTTAGTAATCTTAAAACGATACAGAAACTTACATTAAGCAATCCTTCCTAAGCTGGAATCTGCAATAGATAGTGTGTATATAAGAAGCTGAGGAGTAGTACCTCTGACAAGTTTGTACTGTTCAGTTTCTTAATCTTTCTTTTTCTCCATCCTGAATGTGAAAGGATATGTATATATGTAAGTAATCTCTAAATCCAGCTTAATACTGTGGACACTTGAAATGAAGCTTTCTCTTATTTATGGGTGATGGTTGTGATCACCTGTCTTCCTCACCCTCTGATAGAGCCTTTGTCTGCAACTTTGCAGGCAAATGTTGTGGGTTGTCTGGAGAAGTCACTGTCATCGCGGGTGCAGAAGTTTTCAGAGAAAATACAAATTGAGGGATATACTGACAGGGAAGTGTGAAGTAGTTCATTAGAACAAACTCCATTTGTTAATCCCATTTTGTTTACTGTGCAACTTCTTAGTTATGCATTAGGGTTATAATATACATGAAATATTTAAAATAATTAATGCTCTGTCCATGTTCTAATCTGGAAATAGAAACGGATGAGACTCACTTTTGTAATGTTGTTTCCTTTCTGTTTGCAGAAGTATTGTCAGCCATTATTAGTGTATTGCTGGTCTACATCCTTATGGCATTCCTCTTGTATGAAGCTATTCAAAGAACTATCCATATGGACTATGAAATAAATGGAGATATCATGCTGATTACAGCAGCCGTTGGTGTTGCAGTTAACTTAATGTAAGATCTCTCTTTCTCTCCATTACTCTTACAAATGTATTTCTGAATAAGCTGATAATTCTTCATGACCTGTAACTTTCTAATGGGATGTAATTTTGCTGGACGTCTTCATTTTCATAAATAATAGAAGAAATTATACCGATTTTTACTTTTTCAATTCTTTGGCTTAAAAAAAACATCCACCAAACTATAAAGCCTGTTTCTTGGAGTGTGTTTCTTCTTTCACTTGCAGAATGGGTTTTTTGCTGAATCAGTCTGGCCACCTTCACTCCCACTCTCATGCCCACCCTCACTCTCATGTACCTCGGTCGAACTCTCCTAACGCAGCCCACAGCAGTAGCCACGGCCACAGCAGCCTTGCTGTGAGAGCGGCGTTTGTGCATGCCCTTGGGGACCTGGTACAAAGTATTGGTGTGCTTGTAGCTGCGTACATCATACGCTTCAAGGTAAGGAATGGGTAATCTCTGAGGCAGGGTGGAATTTTTTTAATTTCAACTCTGGTGATGAAATTAAAAAGTGACTTGGTTTTGTAAGTTATTTAAAAAATGATACTCTATTATAAGCCTCACGCATTCGTGGAAAACAAGCAAAGACTATATTATCTATTTCATAAATATTCAAACACAAAAAATACTCATGAAAGTTGGAGCTAGAAGCAACTGTATTTTCTGAGTCACATTTTATATGTGAGCTTATTTTCACATATCCTTTATCACTTTGGAACTTCCTTGCAGCCAGAATACAAGATTGCTGATCCTATATGTACATATATATTCTCCATACTGGTGGTTTTGACAACAGTACGAATTCTCCGTGATACAGGAGTTATTATTCTGGAAGGTAAGTTCTGTGGACAGAGTACTTTACATGTCAAAGACCAGCGAGCACTGGCACTTTTTTTACATCATGATCACCATCTCTAACAAAGTGGATTGTATCTGGAGACCTGTTTATCCTGCTTTTGCTTTAATCTCTTGGTTCTTGATGGCTTACCTAAGCTGCAGCAGTCTCCAGAGGTCTTTGCTGGAACGACACAAATCCTAGCTCTGCTCACATTTTACCATCAGGAGATGGTAAAGTGGAATGTACAGAACTTTCCTGGGTGTATGCAGTGGCTGTCAGCTACAGTAAGTGAATATTTGCCCAGGCTTAGTTCTACATTTTCTCTACTTGTAAAGTTCAAGTGAATGTGAATGCATGTAAAAGGAGGAAGCAAGCTTAGGTCAAATGGCTGGACATGTGGTTCCTGCCTGACCTGTCTTCCCCTTTTCACAGAATCACAGAACGGTAGAGATTTGAAGGAACCTCTGAAGCTCATCTAGTCCAACCCACCTGCCAGAGCAGGATCACCTAGAGCGGATCCCACAGGGACACGTCCAGATGGGTTTTGAGAGTCTCCAGAGACGGAGACTCCACAACCTCTTGTGGCGTTGTATTACTTGCATGCTTCTGTGGTTACCATAGGGGAAGCTACAAGTTAAGAGTGGTGTAGAAAGGAAAAAATAAAAGGGAAGAAAAAGCTAAACATAAGCTGAAGAATCTTATCTCATGTGGTGACTCAGAGGGAAAGATGCCAGCAACATTCCTTGCGTTATCATAGCTAACATGCCAGCTATTACTGCTTGATCTTGTACTTTCACCTTATGAAAGCAAAGATGTTAGGGAGGGGGAAAAATTCCAGGTTTTAACTGTACCTTCCAAGCTGTCTCTTGAGCTATTATTAACTTTACTTTTATTATGTTACAAGGTTTAACCAAGGACCTAAAAATCTTCAATGTCAAGTGCTTTTGCTCTCATTTAGGAGAGTTAAAAAAAAATCCAGCTGAGAAGGCAAAAATGGTGAAATGTGCTTAAGAAACCTCATTTAGCTCCACGGAAATAGCTAAGGTTTAGCTGAAGAAAACAGATAGGACAAATCTATGATGTATCAGATTCCAGATGTCTTGAGTTGTAGCTGTTTGCATAGGTATCCCAGTTGTCATAAAAATCTCAAAATTAATGATGCTATTTAAAGTGACGATAGGTGGGCTTTGTGTATCCTAGGGAATTTTTCCAGCTCAAACTCAGGATCACAAGAGAATGGATTTGCATTTGTGTTGCAGACTACCACTACAACAGCAAGGTCTTTGGAGTTGCATCAGCTTTCAGTATTAAGTTTCATCATTACCCTAGGAATGCTAAATTAAAAATTGAAGTGATCACCTAGTACAGTCAATGAGATTCTAGCTTTTAATATAGATTTATTATGCAGCATTCCAAAGAGATGACACTGGCACTAACATAATTTAATAGACAGTAAGGCATCAGGTTCAGAGAGGAGTCATCCAGAAACTCTGAGGAAATTTGAGAAGCAAGTGGCTGAACTCGTTATAGTATATATAATCAAACTCTGGAAGATAAGCGGTAAAAAGCTGTGATATAAACAAAACTATTCAGAAACAGATTATTCCATATTTTTGTACTAGTTTTTGACCCATGTTTATCATCTAAAATTTTGATTCTGCCATTTGTACAGCTAAAGGACAGAGTAGGGAAGCTATAGAGGTGCTGCAGCTGCTGCAAATACTATGTCCAGAAGGGCCAATTTGCATATTCTCTAATGATAACTTGGAAGTTACTCATCACTTCCAACAGCGTCAATTATAAACTCTTTTAACACTGAGATCTGTCACAACATTTTAAAGGCCACTGAGAGTTTGCAGAAGACAGAATTAATTCTATCTCATGTTTGGTATCACAGGAGTTCCAAGACATTTAAATGTGGATCGCATTAAGGAAGACTTGATGAAAATTGACGATGTTTATTCTATAGAAGATTTAAATGTTTGGTCTCTCACTGCAGGAAAAACAACTGCCATAGTCCACTTGCAACTAGGTAAGCTGTTGTATAGCATAATTCTAAATTAAATCTAAGTGTACAAAAACCCCAAGCCCCTTTCACTTCTTATTTTTATTTAAGTTGAACTGGGAAATACCATTCTGGGGAAAAAATCTACTAACCGGTTTTGTACAGTGAGGTGTAGAACCCATTGGCCCAGAAAGACACAGTGTAAATGAAAATTGTTCAAAGAAAATATATTCATACTGAAACATACAGTACAGATTCTTTGGGTAGGGGAAGGAAAACTTCTCCTCAGAAATTCCCTTATTTTTTCCAGGAAAAGAGAGGGTAAAGTTCTGATGTGGAACAATGTGACATACAAAAAATAAATACGTTTTGCCAAAACATGTGCTTGATTTAAACACCTAACAGTATCATTCTTAATAAGAAAGCTCATTTTTTTTTGTGGGGATTGTCTAACACACACAGTTGTATCAAGATAGGATTCTAGTTACAGGATATAGTCCTAAAAGTATAAAATAATATAGAGAGAGTGCAAAGTGACCACAAAATAATATTAAGAAATCAGTGTGGTCAAAGATTACTCTAGTTGGTAACACTGTGTTAAATTTGAGAACAGCTGGATTGTCCAGGTTTCTCAAGGAATGAATTTTAATTAATTAGTTTCTCGATTTTCCAGTTCCTGGTAGTTCATCAAAATGGGAGGAAGTCCAGTCCAAGGCCCGGCAACTGCTGCTGAACACGTTTGGAATGTACAAGTGCTCTGTCCAGCTTCAGAGTTACAAACAGGAAAGGAGCAAAACATGCGCAAGTTGTCAGAGCTCCAGTGCCTAATTTCATGTTTTGGGAACTGCTGCCTTATTCTTTATCTTGTAGTCAAAGACTGAGAGCAATAAATGCAAAATGAAAATGATCAAATGGAAGTCATTAATATGTGGATTTGTACCACGTAACACGCAGCAGGGAGAACTCATGCTGCAAAAAGTGCAGTCGTTGCCCTACAGAACATGTATTTCCCTTTCTCCCTTGTACTGGTTTATTCAATTTGCTATAATTTTGAGACAAAGCTGTTTTCAGAATATTGTTTACAAACTGCAACGTGGCTCTGCAGATACCTCACAAATCACAGTCCAATATTGTTCTTTAATAACTATGTACCGCAAAGTACCTGCGCTCCAAATGGAGCATCACGTATTCAGTATTTCAATTGAAGTCTCTTATGCTGATCATGCCAAGGTTCCACAATATGTCATGATCCTTGAATTCATTATGCAGTATTTTTGCAATAGTAATTTTCATACAGTATCTTAAACTACAATGCATACAGTGCTAGTTGAAATCTTTTGGGAATTGTCTCTGTGGAGACACTGCAAAACAGAATTTACTGTACCCAGAACAGACAGTTAGCTTTAATCTGGGCATTCAGAGATCCAGAGAGGAAGGTCCTTGCCCAGACTTCTGGTATTTAACTAGAGACCCAACACTGGACCCAAAGTGTTTTAGGTGATCAGTTATCTTTAATGTACTTTAGAATAGGGTTTATATATTAGAAACAGGTTATTTATTTTGCAAAGTTTTGACTTGTAAGATGAATTTATTATTAATGATATTGAATGTTTAAACCAACATTTGATTCACGTTAAAAGGCCAGTTGATTAGCATGCATTCTAATTATAATTAATAAATGTTCTATAATTGATCATTTTTCCATGATTGCTTTGTTTTAAAAGAAATCAAAGGACAGAAACCCTGCTTGATGTGGAGATACTCTCAAACACAATCTACAGACATGCAAGATACATGCATCTAACAGGAAAGCCAGGAGCAGAAATTTCAGATACATAATATTTCCTCAGTCATAGATCTCTGATCTTTTCATCTTTGCTAAAGCAGCGTGTGGCAGTATCCTGACAGGACTGCCACGGCAATAGCAGTCCCCATTACGTAGGCTTTTTGAATAAAGCAAAATCCAGGCAAGCTCAGTAACCGAATGGCATTGGACAATAATATAATACTTTGTTGGACAGCACTATCATAACAACCTACAGAGGTAGAAAGGCCTTTTCTCATTTATAGAGGAATGAGGCAATTTGAAAAGAATATTTATTCATCCAGACCCCTCAAAGTCCACAAAACCAAACTGCCTAGCCTCATGGTGGAATCCCAGTACTTTGAACGTACACAAGATAATAAAATCTGACGGTGAGCTATCGCACACCTCCAAGCTCAGATTGGTGCCTGCCCCTGGGGCCATTTGCACTGAAGAAGCTAAAGGCAACAAGAAAACGACATGCAAAGTTCAGAAGACAGGAAGAAGTTGGCTTCAAATACTTTTTTGCTTATTCTGTACTTTGGTCTTTATGCGGAACTTCCACTGACATCAAAAGTAGTTCTCTGTGTGGATCAGCAATGATTTTTTTTTTCCCCAATAATGGATATTGCGATATTCAGCTGTGAATACTGACGTTACTGTCTGATTTGGAACTTACTGGGGTTTCACATATTCATCAGGCTGACTTATAGCTGCAGTTGGTGGTAACAATCTTGGCTTCTTTTCTGGCCTTTTTCGAGGTAGGGGTCACATGATGCATTTTTTTTGGTGAGAACTGACAGCACAGTATTAATTTGGATAAAGTGCATATAACACTGGATTATGTTTTTATCTGTTCTAGCAAGAACACTTGGGTACAGCATGGGAACACAAACAGCTCAGAGGCAAAGTAGCACTGTACTTGGGAAGTTAATGCTTCAATACAAACGTTATCATTAATTAAGCCATATCATAGTTCATGAAAATTGTGCATCCCATCCTTACAAACTTACTGGGAAAAAAATACCACAAATGTACAACAGGTATTTTGCACATACTAATACTCAAATAGGTTTTAATTAAATTGGGGTTTACAGTTGATGTAATTAGAAGTTGAAGTACAGTAGACATGTATTGTATTTGGAGTTTTTAAAATAATTTACTACACATTTGTTTAATTGAGGAAAAAAGCTGAAGTGTGTTGCTTTATTGTGGGTTTTATTAAATCAATTATTAAACTTCACATTGCTGTCTTTTAAAATACTTGTGTTGCTCTATCTTGTCATTATCTTTGATTCTTACAACAGCTGTTTTTTGAAATGTCTGCATGCTCAGGCTTAATGCAGTTTAGAGATGCTGTATATAAAATGAATTATGTCTCCTTCTGTAGTGAGAACAATTTAAGTCTTGTTATTTCCCATGCGATAGTGGCACTTTAGAAAACAGAAGCTGACAAAGTGTGGGGAAAGATCAGCCATAAAGCAACTGGCAAAACATTCTTGAAACCCTATGTTCACCCTCGAGGGGCCCTTGTTATCAAGGTATATAGACTGGAAGGAGTTTCAGAGAAAAAGCAACAGAATAAGATGAAATGAGAATAAAGATTAAAAGAATCAATGGTCAAGGAAGCTCAAAGCATACATTCCCTGTATAAAGGTCTAAACTAATGGGTTTTTTTATTTGTGTGGCCTACCTTTAATCCCCTTCTTATTCTTTACGAATTATTCAGGGCACAGCTTGTTTGGCACTGCAATGTTTAATGCAAGAATCCAGTATTCTTCTGAATCTGCTATTAATCAATATCAAAATGCATATGCTTTTTATCACTTATAACACTCCAAGTGATGAAATAAATGAGCACAACTCAACTATAAAAATAACCAAGTAGAAATAATTAGTACACGGATAGAGAAAAATTCAGAAAATAACTGATTTGCAAACAAACTACTAGGAATTTATGATCTAATACACAATAACAGTACTCTGGAAGCATAAGTGCCTATAAAAGAAGAGAAGTCATTTTTATAGACATTGCCAGGTCATTTTCAGTGTCAGCTCAGGGGAAAGGGGACTTAGTATAAATAAGCTCTCATGTCTTTCCAAACAGCGTTCCAGTACATCCAGATTATTTAAAGTGGCTAAAATAATTTGCACACTTAAAATATTCTTCTCCTTCTACAAAATCCTCTGCTTGAAATGAGAATGCTCCTATTTAACAGCAGTACTTCTGCTTTGCAGAGCTATGCTGCAATACTCTTGCTGACTGAACAACTGAAATCCTGTGAAAATTCTGCCACCTTTAACAGTCTACACAGGGAAGAGATTTCCCCTTTCTTGATCTGCAGTTGTCACCCATCCTTTTCTGAAGCATGGATACAGCTTTGATGACAACCTACTCATATGAGTCAATAAAGCATTTTTTTATTGAGTAGACTGCAAATACTCACATCCCACTCTTTTATTCTGAAATGTTTTTATCCTAAGAAGAAAATTAACAGCTACTTTGTTTCCCAGTGTTTCCTTTGCTTAATTCTGTGGGGTTTTCTGTTTGTTTGTTTTGAATTGTGCTGGCATTTATCTTTCAATACCAGGAGCATTTCTTTCCACACGAGCAGAATTGCCATTTAAAATGTCATACCTGAATCTGGCCTTCATTTATTTTAGTACTGTACATTATTTGCTATTTCTGGCAGAATCACTCCGAATTGGCAGAATGACTAAGAAAAGCAGTAGGCTGGCACTCAGAAGTAGCTTTCTGACATAAGCTGCAAAAAACCCCAAAGACATCCACCAGCTAATGAGTGATAAGACTTTCGTTCAGGTATTTTGGCAGAATCTCACGAGGACACTGCACTGATGCTGCACGGAGCAGGGCCCTTAAGTATTATTTCTCTATACAGACACCGTGAGAATATCATAAACAAAGGTAGGTTCTTGGCTAATTAGACATGACATGTACTGTAGCAGCTTCCTAGACTCCAATAAGCTAGTCCATTACTCCAAAAGCCTCCAGATTCTTTCTACCTTAAAAAGAATAAAACAAATGTGCTTCACCTTCCTCACACTTAATCCCCTCTCCAGCTTCACCCCATCCTCCCCCTCTTTGTAGCAAATCATGCTGGGCACTAACTGACACTCTTTGTGCCCTGGAGCTGGCAAATCCCCTTCTGTTCTACTCTTCGCATTCCATTTTCCACGGCTGAATGCTCTGGGAAGGACCATACATGCTTTTCTCGTTCTGTGAAACACTGACACAACTTTGGAAGCTGCTAGAATAAATACTGATCCTTTCCATTTACGGCTACCCAGCTACCACAGCAATTTGGTCTTGTAATGCAAGCATACCCGTGTTCTGTGCTTACAGCTGTAAGCAAATCAGTATTTTTGCTCTTTTATCTCTCTTTTCCTTTTCTCCAGTTTGTTCTGCTTTTTTTTATTTTATTTTTTTTTCCCACCCTCAGTATCACAGAGTTTGAAAACAAACCGTGCTAAATGTACAGGACAAAATTACTTAATTGCTTTTACAACAGTTATGAAGCATTTACACCTTTTATGACATCAATTTCTGTAGGGGGGGGGGGAAAAGTGCCATTTCATAAACACAAGCATAATTTCATCCATATGATTTCCTTACTATTATACCTGCTGAAAAGATGGGTTTTTTTCAGAATTGCAGCTAGCCAGTTCATGAAAGTACATGAAGCCAGGTAAATTCTGTCTGTCCAGAGTGTGTTCCACATTAGACTCTGTAGTAATATACACAGGGATTTTTGATTCAGCTGATGAATACATAAAAGCAGCCAGATGGCAAGCAGACAAAAAAATTTGCTTTTGTCTCAGGTGCATTAAGAGTACCCAAGTCCCTGCACTCTTCCCACTTCTTTTTTCTGAAACAGAAATTATCTAATAAATCCCAAAATAATCCCCAAATAAATTGATGAAATTTATAAAAATTGCTACTTAATTCTAGTAACCGTCCTTCTAAATTCAAATACAATTTTGGAGAAAAACACTAGAAACATGCGAACCTGACATAC